TCTTTCCCTGAAAACTGAGTTTCATGTAATACTTGAAATTTGAGCTGACGATAGCAATTCATCTTTTGTGCCTCTACCTCACTGATGAGTCACTGGTGTTATTTCTGTTAGCTTTCTGCAGCTTCCTTGGAAAGCTCCTTTGTTGCTTCTTCGTCTCTGGTGCACAGCTCTTCATTTTCCTACTGTAATGTACTTAGTCTCCTTACATGTACTGAACAGATACAGAACAACCATGCTAAGTCGCGTAAGTTTTTCTTTCAAAACTGACTCTAAATACCAGCTAATTTTGCCATCTGTAGAAGAACATTGGCTTTAGCAGCATGGTATCAAAACAAATTTTGAGCTGACTTTCCAGAAATTCTCTCCTGCCACGTAGTTTCAGGACAGTAAAAGGAAAGCTCTGCTGCTGTTTAAGCTTTTGTGTTGAAAGGACATCTCTTCTGAGTAATGCAAAATCTGCCTGCTTCCTTCATTTGCACGCTTCTTGATAACACAGAGTAAGCTCATGACCTGAATGTGGGCTTGCTGTAGCTACACATTATCGAAATCTGCCCTGTTATTTCCACCTTTTCCCCAAAACAACTCTTTGACAATTTGTATATTGTATCGATTCTTTTGAACAAGCTTAGAGCGTGAACTGTGACTCTGATTTGTCCCCAGTTGATCTCAGTCTTGTGTATGTAATCTGGACAGTGCTTTAGGAAGTAATAGGGGAATTGCTATGAAAAAAAAAATCTAAATTTGTGCTAAACAGTGTTATATCAGATTACTGTGTGAGATGTGTATGTTAAAAGATGAACCAAGTGTGTAAGAGATTCTTCTTTTGGCTATTAACTCTAACCCTAGCACATGTTGGTCTTACACACTTAAATATGACATCTCCAGTGTCAAACCTCACTGTGATGTGCAGCAGTGAAGTTTCAGTGCAGCAGGTAGTCCAGAAATGACTTGATAGAAGCTTACTAGGAGAGGATTAAGGTGACACTGTGAGGAATGTGAGTAGAGAATTGAGTTGTGAGGATGACTGACGAGGTAATGCTTGTGGGATGGATGGGGCTCAGGTTATGTGGAATTTGGAAGAAATTGAAAGAGGTTGGAAGGAGATAGGGGAAGCTGCCCTGAGGGGCACTGGGAACAAGATACACACCTCAACCCTTCTTTCTTTTACCTTAAGGTGACAGGGGCCTCATTTCTCTTACAGACATCACTGCCTTGCTGTATGCCTTTTGCCATTTGTATTTTGGTATATGAGAGAGTGAACCATCTCCTTCTGATAGGATCTTCTTGTGGTTTAACCCCAGCCAGCAACTAAACACCACACAGCTGCTTGCTCCCACCCCCCACCCCTGGTGGGATGAGGGAGAGAATTCGAAGAGTGAAAGTGAGAAAACCTGTGGGTTGAGATAAGAACAGTTTAATAATGGAAATAAAGTAAAATAGTAGTAGTAGTAATAATACTATTAATAAAAATAATAATATACAAAACGAGTGATGCATGATGCAGTTGGTCGCTACCTGCTGACCAACGCCCAGCCTGTCCCAGAGCAGCAATTGCTGCCCCACCCCAGCTAACTCCCCCCAATTTATACACTGAGCATGATGTCATATGGTATGGAATACCCCTCTGGCCACTTGGGGTCAGCTGTCCTGGCTGTGCCCCCTCCCAGCTTCTTGTGCACCTGGCAGAGCAGGGGAAGCTGAAAAGTTTTTGACTTAGTGTAAGCCCTGCTTAGCAACAACTAAACCATCAGTGTGTTATCAGCGATCTTCTAGTACTAAATCCAAAACACAGCGCTATGCCAGCTACTAGGAAGAAAATTAATTCTATCCTAGCTGAAAGAAGCACAGATCTACGTATCCTTTTTTCCCTAGCTCCTCTGCTGTATGGTAAAACCTAGGATCTTAGCTAGCTCTGAAGATGGTGGAAATGTAAACTGCTGAGCACTGGGAAATAAAGCAGCAGCTGTGAAGGCAGTACAGGTTGGGAACAGGCAGACTTAGTGGGCTAGGACTGCTACTATGAATACTCAGCCAAAATATGCAGAGTGACATAGTTCTTTGGGGCCACCCCCAGGATATTGCAGGCTGTATCTGGGGTGTCCATCCTTTGGGCAAGGTGGGACGTACAATGATTTTTCCCAAGGCACTATTGGTGCCTTTCCTTACCACAGAGTGTGTAACCAGGATACAGGCACCCTAGCACCACATGTTGAGCAGATGACTGCCCTTATGATAGGATGTACAAATACACATTGGATCATTTGACCCCATAACTATCCAGTCCCTCAACCAAACATGTGTTAGTCAAGTGATAGAAAAGCTTGCAGTTTAGTCTGGCACATGTGCTTCTAAGCAGTGTGACAGAGAGGACTTAATAGGGGGAGAGGTGGGCTGGGCCAGGCTCTTTTTTTTTTTTTTTTTTTTCATACACCATAGTTTGGGCATCTAAAGAACGCTTCATGGTCAGGAGAGTGTGCAGGCCTAGCAAGCAGCTGCTTGTGAAGAGACTGTGAAGTACTGGACAGTGTTAAGACAGTAAGGTTCAGTCATCTAAATAAAGTCCTAATGGCATAATAGGAGAAGTACCATCTGGAAATAGTGAGTAGCAGCATTAGATGTGTCTAAGTTGCAAGAGGTGTATGAAAGAAGAGTTCACAAACTTTTACAGATAGAGTGGCTTCGTGCACATGGCCAGAATTTTTCCAGTCTTGACAGAGCTGAGCAGATACTCAACCCAGCTCATGTCAAAGCAAGGGATCCAAACAGTGACAGGGACCTTTTCACTGCTTAAGTCCCTCTTGGGGCTTGATCAGGTAAGTATTCACAAGACATATAATGAAATATGGCTCCTTACAAAATGAAATGTAGCTACCTCTTTATTTTAAAAAATGTACTTTGCACTACTCACCTTTTAATATAGCCTAGTAATTGGCAGTCTTAGACAGGAATTGGGGGATCTGGGTTCAGTTCCCTCCATTGTCTTCTAGGATTAAGATGTCCACTTCCATGTCCTTCCAGATGCTGTTCTCTTAGGAGCTTCCTGTGTCACATATCTAAAGCCTTGCCTTAAAACTAGGTTTGGGGAAAGGGAAGGCTTGGCCCTTTACCATTGTTACCTTCTGATGGTCCTGAAAGGCTAATTCAGAATATCATTGCTCCAATGGTCAAGTTTTCTTTTCACTTTCAACCTAATGATTCCTGGTCAGATAACAGCTCTTTTTTTCTTCTCCCCCCACCCCCAGCTTCTCTCTCTTCTCTGCACATGGTATTACTCCTCTGTGGTGTTGATAGGGAAAGCTGAATCCCCTTTCAGACTTGAGATTGTTAGATTAAAATTATCCAGCTTTTTTTTTTCTTGTGTGATAGTTTCTCTGTTATGTCATCAGAATATTCTTTGTTTCTGTTTGAATTAATCTTTTGAGGATACAGGTGGCCACGTTACAGACCCCTGAACAGTACTTACTGCTTCTGGAAAGACTACTCTCGATGCTTTCTACTGTTGCGTTTTTCTTTTTCCCAGTTGTATTGCATTAGGAACACTGTGTCTCCCAGGGAATTGAAAAGAACCATTTGGATTGATGAAAGGACCATGTTGTAAAGCCCTTGATAAAAATGAAACAGGCATAAATTGCCTTCTAACAAGTGTTTATATCTTGGTCATATAATGTATCACAACAGTATACATAATGTCAATAATGTATATCTTATTTGTGAGGTCTGAATTACAAAATAATGTAAACTTCCTCCTATGACTAGACTATCATTCCTGATTATTATTCTGCTTTTTTACCCAGTTGTCTTTGTTGCTATTTTTCTGCCTAATTTTTTTCCATAATTTATTAAAACCTGGATAATAAAGTGAATCCTGTATTTTAAATCCTTTTATCTTACTTCTAATAAGGATGATAGAATATTACAGAGGTAGCACTTCACACAGTTTAAAACGTTATTATTAACCTGAAAGGGAAGTGAATGAGCTATAGTCCTAATAAGGAGAGAAATGTTGCAGTCAACTATATAGCTTCAAAGAACCTGCCCCTTGTGTGGACAAGGAAGAGTAATAGTTTCTTCAATCCATGAAACTAACCGAGAGAACCTGTATGCATGTGTTTCAAAAGTTCTGTTGCAAACTTTTGAAGTTAAACTGATTCTCAATTACATGCTGTAGGAGATGAATATGATGTGTGTGCCATTTGTCTGGATGAATATGAGGATGGAGACAAGCTCAGAATCCTTCCATGTTCTCATGGTAAGCAGCTGTATTTTAGGTTTGGTATTTGTATTTGATATTTGCTCTCACCATAGTGAATATTTATTGCTTGATTATAAAATTTATTTTTGCTAACATGCAGGAGTGTATATACAAATTGGGAAAAGAGCAAACTTTTTTTTTCCTCTTTTTAAAAGCAAAAAGGCTAGTATTCCCACTTCGCATTTTTCTTCAGGTGTACACATAAAAGAAAATCTGGGCTTGATGCTGTCCCCTAAATGTCTGTATTTAATACAGAAACACATTCCAGAGTCACTTTTTCCAAGACAATTAAACCACAAAATATAATTCCACTAGACAGAGATATGGATGAAGGGATACAATCTGTCCCATGGCCTGAAGGCATATAGACCTCTGTCTTGACTGCATTTGGAAGTCAGTGCTGTCAGTGCAAAAATTAGTGGAATGCTTTTATTGTGACAAGTTGTGCACTGCCTGAACAGAGTCTCGAGTACAGGTATATCTAGTATTCACTTATGTATCTATCCACAATACAATACTGCTCTTAAATGCATGCAAGTACAAGAAGCTTATATCTAGAAATCTGGAAGAGGCCTGGGCCCAAAAGCATCTCTAAACTTAAATTTTTTTTTTTTTAATAAAAGCTGTGTAAAATCTACCAAGAAAGATAGGATTCATCCTTCTTAGCTGGAGACCCTCTCTCTACCTCCCAGTCCATTACTCTATTACAGCTGGTTTGACTGGGTGCAGTTTTACCCAGCCCTTCTCCTTAAATTACTGCACTGACCAGGCACTGCAACAGTAATACCACATCACTGAGAGATTTAAAAAAAAAAAAAAAAGAGCAAAAAAAAAAAAAGCAACTGATGTTACAGCCTTATATCTACAGCGAATGCAGCAGATGACAGGCTGAGCTTTGTAGATCCTCAGTCATAAAAAACAGTTTTAAAACAGGCTGACAAACAGAAGAGTTCTCAGAAGAGAAAGAACAGATCTGTAGCATCTGTCCCAGCTAGGGACTGCAAAGTTAACTAAACCTCATCACCAATGTCAAAGATTGTTGTGGGTTTTGTTGGTTTTTTTCTTTTTTTAAATTTGTCAGCAAAAACAACCCACCACAAACCAAAGCCTAACAAAACCCCACCACTGTCAGTTCTTGTGGAGAATATGCTACTAACATGCTTGAACAGGTACTAAACACAACATTCTTGCCCTTGTAAATAATTAGCTCTTTGCCAGATAGACGTCTCTGTTAATAAGCAGAGCTAGGTTTTAATACCATAATTAAGACACTTTCAAACACTTCTTTTTTTAAACAAGGCCTGTATAGTTGCATTGCCAATTGTAGACCTAATTTACAATCCGCAAAATCAGGCAGTAATTTCATTTAATAATAAGGTGCTTTGATACATATTGGCGGAAGTTAGAGGCGTTGTGAGGATAACGATGGTGGGCATGTCTGCTGCAAGGTGGGTATAATTCCTCAGGAAGCTTTTAAAGTGTATTTCGTCAAATGTGGCCCATTGCAGGACTGCTTTCAGATTCATTCAGTAGAGGAAATAGGTATTTATTGCGTATATCCATATGGCTGAGATCCTAGTCTATTAGGTGTTTTGTACATGAGGATAGACATGTCAACACACTTGTGACTTAAGTTCTCTGTATGAGTTAAATTCTAAAATTCTCCTGTGTTACTAAACATAAATACAATTTAGCAGGTTTCCTTGTCCTGTTAACTTAGATAATGATGTACTTGTATTTTGTTTTCTAACAGCATATCACTGCAAGTGTGTGGACCCGTGGCTGACAAAAACAAAAAAAACATGTCCTGTGTGTAAGCAGAAAGTGGTCCCTTCTCAGGGGGACTCTGACTCCGAAACAGACAGTAGTCAAGAAGAGAATGAAGTGTCTGAAAATACTCCTTTGCTTAGACCATTAGCCTCAGTTAGTACCCAGTCATTCGGGGCTTTGTCAGAATCTCATTCCCATCAGAACATGACCGAGTCCTCAGAATATGAGGAGGATGACAATGACAATATCGATAGCAGTGATGCAGAAAACGGAATAAACGAAGAAAGCGTAGTGGTTCAACTACAGCCCAATGACGAAAGGGAGTACAGAGTGGCAAATACTGTTTGAGACTACTAATGATGAGTTAGCGTATGAACAAAAGAGTTCTTAAGGCTATACTTTACAAACCTTTACGTAGGGAATATATTTTAATCTGTAATCTGTTTGGTTTCTTCAATAGGAGCAGCAGTTCATGTAGTAGTACTATGGTTAAATCATTACAGATAGTTTTATTTTTGATTCAGGTATTCAGTCACACATTCTGTCTTCTCAAAATGAACAGTTTAACTGGACTTCACAATGCTAATGGATAATGTTAATAGTTTATATCAATAGAAATATCACACAGACTTTAAATGTATCTTGTTGAAATGGGATTTATCTGGAAGTCTTTTTTTTTTTTTCCATTTTGTAGCTACAACTGGGTCATACTGATAGCAATATTTATTACATGTATGGTATGTGTTACCCTTTAAGCCCAACAAAAAAATGTATTTGCATGTTTGTATAGAGTTTTCCTAAAAACCGTCACCGCTACTGAAAGAAAAATGTAGAACAGATCAATATTCTATATGCTGGTGTATCAAAACAGAGCAGAAGAAATTCCACTTTTATCTCAAAGCAGCGATTCCAAATAATCCTTTGGAGTTTGCCACAGTAGCTGAATTTAAGTAGATCCATCGAGCAATTCCTAGGATAAGGAAACTTAGAATATATGTTGAGTTTTGAGCAATTCACAAGGCAAGATCCACCATAAACACATTCATTATTCCTACTTGCTGCTATGATGTAGTCTGGTTTCCAGTGATGATGTGGGAGTTGGGGGGGAGGAGAGGGGTATGTGACCAAAACAGAGGTTTTGTTCCACATAGAAAAATAATTTTAGGTAAGTATTCTATTGATCCTCAACTCATATACCTCTTACTAAAGAGCATTTTATGCTGCATTAGTCTGCTAAACTATGTATATGGAAAAATTGTTCTTTTCAAATACCTAATTTGAAAACAAGTGCTTATAACTGTTTAACAGAACTCAGTACTTACCAGTGTATCATGAAAAAAGTAAAAGCTATATAATACCTCTGTAACTATGTAGAAAGTAAAAACATACATATAATCGAAATGCAGAGATTTTTTTTATATGGCCTTGAATAAGGAAAGCTTGAAAGAATGTTAATAAACATGTTTTCCACTTTAAGTATCAGAAGGAATTTATTGAACTTCAGCATTACTTGCGTTCATTGTGTACTCTCTGACATTTGTTACTAAGGTTAAAGTATTTTTAAAGATGCAGACCATGCAACTGTTGGGATTCCTTAGTAAACATTAACCCACATTGTGCTGCGTATCACAGTACAAAGTGCTGTACTGATGAGTACTGTATGCAGGAGGGACTAAGTTACAGAGAGAAACTTAATTTTTGTTCAGTTCTAGTTTGAGGAGAAGTTTGAATGAGTCTGGGTCTGTACATGTAACTTGTATGGGGAGAGGGAAGGAGGACTGGAGTGCTATTGGTATTTCCTGCCCACCCGCCAACACCTCCAGAGCTGCAGCCTGTGAGCCCGTGTTCGGGAAGTCAGAAAACCAAGTCCTGGACTGAGGCGATGACAGGTGAGGCGTTCCTGTTTGTGATTTCTGACCCAATACACAGCACAGCTACACCCTCCTTGCTTCAGCCTGGCAATGGAAATCAATTCTCTGGGACTGGCTAAGAGCAGAGGAAGTTTATTTTGCAGAATGAGGCGTGGTAAAAGGATAATAATGAAAGAACGATTCATCTTCACACCACTGCTGCCAGCAATCCATGGGGTTAGTGACAAACAACGTATTACTGTATTTTCACCGTGTAAAATTCCACTTCAGCTCACATATGTCTAGTTAAGTCCAAATGTGAAAACTGGTTTCTGAAAACTTACTAAGCTGGAAGATGTTTCTTAAAATAAGTTCCCGCTGTTATGTTATGAGTGTATGTGTTTATTCATAATTGTATTTTGGGCACCCCAAAACCTGAAGGGATCCAAACCCACGAACTGAAGTAAACTTTAATATACGCTGTATGTAACTCCAGTATTTGCTGCAATGACAAAAAGTAAAATGACACGCTTTTTACCAGTTTCTCACCTGTTCTCCATGCTATACAGAACAAATGGGTGCAGCAAAGGATCTTCTGTTTCCATCCCAAATATACTGTATTTTTTTTAAACTGTTCCATTTTCTAAATTTCCTAATGGTATTAATGTAAACTTTATTTCAGTGGGCCTTCCTTGGTGGTAAATGTTGTAGCGGTACTGCCCCTGCCATACCTCCCTTGTGCCACAGATAGAGTTTACTTGTCACTTGCCATTGCCAGCGAGAATGAAAATGAAAGAAGGAATAGCACTTTATTAGAAATACTTCGGAAGGTCAAGTATCTCTTAGCATCTCTAAGTAGAATTCACGTATTTTTTTCCTGGGGCTATGACCTACTACATTACCTAGATGACGTAGCACCATTTCCTCACCATATACTGTGAACAACTGACTCCTGGGGCTTTTTGCTTCTGTGAATTCTCTTGATCTAACTTCAATCTGTAGCTGTCTTTGAGAGTAGGATGCTGGTGCCGTGAGGAGCTTCCTACCTGATGGCCTAGTTAAAAAAAATTTCTTCTAATAAGTAGTTGTAAATAGTGTCTGAAGTTAAAAGTATTTCATGGGACCTCTGAAGTGGGCAATCTGCATAAAACAGCACAGGTACTGTTGGCAGTCATCACAGAATAATAATCGTATGACCAGAATAAATAGGTCCTTACAAAACAAGCTTGCACCAAACCTTTCATTGCATAATGAGAACAAACTACTTGGAAAAGGAGCCAAAAGAGGACAGGAATTAAAGCTTGCCCTCAAAGGGGGAGGTAAACTGGAAGAAAGCGGTGGGTCTGACAAGTGCTTTTCCTGACAGGTCAGTAATCGAGGAAGAGAGAGGAGTTCAATGGCAAAACAAACTACTCTCCTCACCCCACCTCGACGAGGCACAGTCTTGGGAGAGTTCAGGGCCAGTGTTTGAACAAACAGCAATAACGGGTACCTACATGCAAAATAAGGCAATGAATATTAAAAATTGGATAATGTCTGAAAATGCCATGCTGGCAGCAGTTCAGAATATTTAGATGTTTCTACTGCATTCTAACAGAATTCTAAATAACGTGTTCATTATAAAAGCAAGACCCTCTGAAAGGCTAAGTAATAAGGGCTGGTATAATTAAAATCTGACTGAATTATTATGGTGCAGAAAATAAGTATACTGGCAATTAACTTCATAAATGTATTTTGGTGAAAGTAAGATTAGAATGGCCTGGAAGTCAACATTAAAAACCTATAAAGCACATAAATGCAGCCCTCATCATCTTCCACTGTAGGCCGTGCAATCTAAGAGGCACACATAATTGGGGATAGAAGTAAACTTTCAGAAAGTGAATTGTCTTCCTCAGTTTGAAGACAGACTGAACAGCTTGAGAACTACCCTTAAAAAAAAAAAAACCAACCCTTTGAAGCAATTCTGCCTCTTCACTGTGTTTGCACATCTTTCCTACTCCTTTCTCATCTATTTTTTTAAATCAGTAATGTAAGTTCTGTTCTAATACCAGTTCTGTTCTTCCACTCAAGCCTTGAATATGAGCTACAAAAGGGATAAAAAAGTGGGGGTGGAGGAGGAGAGGGTGGGGTGGGTGCTTAGCTTCCTTGTGTTTGGGAACTGCTGACGTAAGAAAAGATGTAATACTTCTAAAGCGTATGAGCAATGGGAGAGCTTTTCTATAAAATGGCAGGCACTGTAAAGCACAGTGAAGGAGTTTTGAGAGCTCTGCTGGAAGCTGAAGAGCCAGCAGGTATTGCAGATTGCTGTATGCAAGTGAAACTTCTAAAAGCCACAGTGTTTTTCATGGACTAGCAAGAGGGTAAAAAAGCGACAACCCATGAGCGCAAAACCCGGGAGAACTGTGCTGCAGGTCAGGCATCTTTGCTGCCGCAATGTCTGAATCCTTTTACCAACTCCTGAGTGGTAAAATGGTGAGAGGGGGTATGGCCCCCCGAGCCCGGTGACCGCCGAGGCTGTTGGAAGTGCTGAATGCTGTAACACAGGCTGGCAGGCAAAACCCTCAACGGTGCTGACCTGCCCCCCGCAAGGGAGGACAGTAGGTGCACGGCACCCCGTAGGACTTCAGTGCAGCAGATGAAATTGGTTACGCGTGTGGAACTGTGTAACGTCTGCAATAAAGTGTTTCCCTGTATCCTTTGTAGTAACTTTTTGTAAGGAAAAAATAATGCAAAGTCCTGACCTAGGTCACAATGTAGCATTCAAACCTTGAGCGTAGGAAAATAACCCTTTATATTTGAATTGTCTATTAATCTGGACATGGGAGTTAAATGTAAAATTTGTTGAGTCTGGGTTATTCAAGAAAGGTATTTTAGGTAGACCCTAGCGAATTCTGTGCATGGATACCATTCTGCTGTGGAAACTCAGTAACATGCATTTGAAAAAGTAATTTGTGTACCACCTAATTCTTACAAGAAAAAGTGTATGGGTAACAGACAACCCCTGCAGACACCTGCTCAGGAGTGGGGAAATGGTCAGAAGGGAACAATGTTAAAATAAGTAAGGACTGGGACAAAAATTACTTGGTGTGCACTGCTAACGGCCATTCCAGCCATACAGTGAATTCCAGCTATGGCCTTCTTGCAGGAGAGCTTTGGGGATAGACACACACTGCCCCACGAGGAAAAAAAAAAACCAAAACACAAACCCTGCAGTCAGAATGCAAGTGCAATTTAATTTTAAATTGGGTTTAGACACACAGCAAAACAGATTCACACACATTTTACGGGGGAAGCGGGAGGTTTGCATCCTCTGTGCTAGTTATGACTCAATGTAAACTTGCTGAGGGCTAGGGGCTTGTTCTAGTCTGCTCTAACTCTAGCACTAGGAGCTGGAAGATGGCAGTCCAGCCACCGAGCAACTCAAGGAGTCAGAGAAACACTTTGTGTGTATAAAGGTTTTAGTTAGACTGGGATCTAGTGACAAGCACAGGAGCAGGTGCAGCGTAAGTGAAGATGTAAGGGAAGATGGGGAGGACAAAGGCAGTTTAATGTTTAGCAGCACGTAAGTGGCATTGTCAGGACTGAGAAAAGCATAGCCTGAGCCCAAACCTCCTATTGGTTTGGGCTCGTGCTTTCCCCATCCCCCAAGCTCCTCCCATTGTTCACTATGGCATCTCACCAGGGCATTTCAAAGGCCCAAAGAAGGCACGTGTTCGCAGGGCCCCTGCTTGCGGAATAGTTGGGTAGCAAAGTACCATATGCCAGGTAGAATTCTTCTGGGTTAAGAGAGACCTTGGATCTCTCCCTTCCCTGCTGGGAGGAGAGCAAGTTCTTACCAAGCGCATAGATCCTGCGGCAAAGGTCTCCTCCAGCTCCTGTTTCAGGGATTACATATTGGGCATTCACATGGCAGGGGAACCCCCTCGCCACCGAGTTGGATAAAAGCAGGGTGAAGTGACAAGAAATCCTCTCCTCTTTTAAAATCTAGCCCAAATAGAGCCTGGCCTTTGACTCAAGTTACATTACCATACGACTGCCATCTCACAAAACTTACAACTGCACTTCTATCTAGTCTTGGTGTAGTCAGCCACGCAATGAAGAAGGGCAAGGAAAAAATTACCAACAGTCTGATTTTGTTTGGTTGGAATAAATTTATTTCATCTGTCTGTAAACAAGGTGTTTTTAATAGTTATGGCATTTTTTGAAATGCATATTAAATCAGATGAGTTAGACTGTATCCCAGATGTAACAAAGTGCAGGGAAAGAAATGGACAAATCAGCAACAAGAATTTGTTTAAATCTGTACATTATCCACAAGGCCCAACAATAGAAGCAAATACTAGAATGTCCCTAAAGTAGTGCCATTCGAAAGAAACCCTCGTAATCAGTTAAAATCCATCTCACAATAGCAACAGTTCATTTTTTTTTTTTAAACAATAGTATGGCACAGAATACATATTAAAAAATTCATCACAAGACAGCCAAGTCAGTTATTCCAACCAATACCATCTCCCATTTATTCTTTTGTATACAGAGTTCTGCAGTTCTCTTTAAATGGACATACAAGTTAGTACCGTGCCTGAACTGAGAGTTTGGTTACAGACATTTCAGATGACTAGTGCACAAGGCAGTTCACTCCAGAATTTCTGCAGCAAGGGTGTGACAGGCCAAATGAAGATTTTAAATTTGAAATGGCATCATTTTGACAGTTTAGCTTTCAAACTACCAACCTTCATCCAAACAGTGGCTTCTAGAGCAGCAAAACTCTTTACCAGTAAGTGATCTGGCAGAAAGACTGGAGTCAGTCAGAGCTCCCAGTATAGCTGAAGGTGGCAGTTTTCCACAATGACATTGCAGTTTCATATTAAAAAACAAGAAGAAAAAAAAAAAACAGAAACAAAAACCACGACCCCCAAGCTGCAAATTAAAATTGGTCCTATGAAAAACTGAAACCAGACACACTCCAGATGGTTATGTTGGGATATCTAATGTCCATAATGGCATCCTTTTACAATTCAACTACAGAACAGGAGCTGGCAAAAAAAAAAAAAAAAAAAAAAAAAAGTGCCTGAGCTATTGCAATGATGGAATGTCTCTGGGGATTCATTCAGGATGGTGGCTTTAAGGTCATGGGAGGAAGCGCATCTGTACCCTTTCATAGTTTTGTGATTGCACTTGTTAAGCAGTACAAGCTTCAGACAGCATGAAGAAAAAATAAAGAGACTTAAGCCTACAGTGAAGTGCAATGACAAAACTAATGTTACATTAATAGCTTTTGAGTGGCAAATTGATTAATCAAACCAGGCACTATAAAAGTGGGTGTAAGCAAACAAGTGTGGATATACAAAACCAAAAAAAAAAAAGAGGGAGAGAAGTAAAGATATGCATGCACTTTTTTCCTCCCAGCCATGCTCTATGAAAGGAAGACTAGTGAGCCGTGTAATTGCTCAAAGTGCTGAAGAGGCATCGATCAAATTAGATTGTACAATCGGCACCTTGTTTAGTATTTAAGTTGTTTTAGTTGTCAATATCACACTAATTGCTAAAACAAAGCAAAGCCTACACTTGGCGTATTCCCCTCCCGAATTTTTCAAGATATCATGCATATCATCTTTGTGGTGCAGTAATGGTGCCAGATACGGGACTTGGTTACATACAGTGGTTAACATATAAATGAACAAAGGGTAACTGGAATTATGACATTAGGAAATGGGTAAATAAAAAACACAAACTACCATCTACAGTCTGGTAGCACTGAACACAACTGGGTGGTGGTGAAGACAGTTGCTAGGTGGATGGGGAGAGGCTGCTTAGACGTCAGACCTCCTCAGGTATAAAGCCAGTTCATATGCTTTCTTGTTGAGTGTCCCTCCATGGACACCTTCCTTTCCCATGACTATAACCAATGCTGGAGTACACAAGGAAACAAAACAGAAATGAACAGAATTAAAGAGAAAAAAAAAAAAAAAAAAAACCAAACCACCTTTCCCCACCAACAAAGGGATACAAAGGAGACACAGGTTCATACCCCATCACCCTGCATTGCTAATAAAGTTTCCAGAATGTAAGGTTTAAAGCTCACCGCCAGGAAAGTTTAATAGCAATCTTCCCCTAATACTTAACAGTCTGCCTAGCAACTAGAACCCAGAGTCTCTCAAGTATTTTGCCATTGAGTATGCCTTCTTATTCAATCCGCCTCCATGGACCCCTTCTTTGCCCATTACAAAGACCAAGACTGAAAGAGAAAAGAAAAAAAGTTTTAAAAAGAGTGTGTTAGACAAGGAAATAACGCAAGTTTTAGGCAGTGCAATAAACACACTCAAATTCAAGATTTAGTATTTGGGTATTAAGCTAATTTTCACAGGAGTTTTGTAAAAATACAGATGTAGACAGGGCTGGGAGAAGGCAATGAGTTGTCCTCAGGGATATTACCTAACTATGTAAGTCATAAGAGCTCACTGCTAAGAAAAATGGCACCAACTATCTCAAAAAAGCATTACAGTGCCTCTCCACCATCAGCACCATCCATCATCACCCAGCAAGGAAACCCTGGCTGCATCTTAAAAAAAACAAGGAGAAGAAAAAAGAAGTGTTGTCGGGACAAAATAGTAGCATATATAGAAGAACTATGACTCTGAAGAGCAGAAGAGGGAATATTCTTATATTCTTATCTGTAGGGGTCACTACTGGCCTAAGAACCAGAGTAACTGCCTTGACAAAAAACCCACAGGGTCAGCCTTGGGCTAAGACTTTTCATGCAACAACACAATTATAAAATGTGCTTTTTGCAAAGGCAAAACGCAAGGAAGGTTTTAATTCTGACCCTCTCTTTAATCCCACGACTTTGGTGAAGTGTCCCATTTGTCTCGTGAACAAGACCATCCCAAGGCTCCTCAACCAATAAACACCACTCGCGAGTTGCCAGCAGATGTCACCAGCAGGTACACAGACACAATAAACGCTGTGCTTCCACAAGCACAGTAATTGTTTCCCAAGCTAGGAATACTGTAATTGGAAATACTGCAGTCAGCCTACCTACAGGTGATTGTGCATCTACACAGCAATTTGCTCACAAAAAGCTTAAGACGGGCAGTTCCTGTTGGCATTTCAGAATTTGCAGCAGAGTCGGAACTCTGTTTCGCTTCAGTGCTGCAAACATTCTTCCTCTATCACTGCCACCCGCCTTTAGCGTACAGACAAATTTTGCTCTAGTTTTGGTTTTATACTTGTAAGCAAAAGCCCAATTTGTTCTACAGCCAGCCAAAAAATGCCAGGCCGGGTATTTTGAACACATAGCCAGTATTTTCAGGCATTTTTTCTATACCCAGACCTAGTGCCTTCCCCATAATATGTCTTGCTAGAAGTTAAATGAGGAGCACAGGAGCAGGTCTAGTAGCATAAAGCAAGTTTCTCGGTGGTACCAAATTGGGCGGGCTTTTTTGCCTGACGACAGACTTCAGAGAGCTCAACAGAAGTGCAAGAAGAGTTAGTGTAGAACTTGTTAAAAGTCAAGTAGGAGTAGCTCATACAAGGAATTCACATTGTTGCAGAATAAACTTTCTGTTGAGAAGTTTACAACGAAAAAGCTAGTTTCACTACCAATCATTAACAGATCCTTACCGTAAGCTTTAGATACGAACTTATCATGCACTGGGCAAGTTTACTTCAAGCTATAACCTGCTCTTTCCTGCTTGTCAGAGATCTGTTTAACCATTTCGTAACCTAGGGCCCAGCTGTGGTCACAGGTAGGAACAGGGACAAGCGTGATTCCTAGGCAGCAATCCAGCTCATCAGCCAGACCGCTGCCATCCACCCCCCTTACATCACTTCCTGAAATTAACCATTAAACACAGGAGTCGCCTTTTCTTAATAGCTGGAATCTATGCTTAGGGTCACACTCTTAATTCAGTGATCTGAAAGTGAAGAAAATCACGCTTACCTCGGCCAGCTCTGCCTACAGCAACATTGTACGTTGGCTCACCACCTTGACTCTTTGTCCTGATGTCCATTGTGCAGTCACCATCAACATACAGGCTATCTCTGATCACAGAGCACTTCTTTGCACCAAGGGTCAGACCATTGGTGAAGAAACCCTCCCGGTCTTTTCCTACAATCATATCTATTTCTACTGGCTGTCAAAGAAAAAAGTCCGGAGTTAGCACAGCAGTATTTCATTGTTTAATCTCTATTTAGAAAGCGTCCTGCCTCATGTTGAGAGGATGAGACGGTAAATTCTGCCTCCCCCCCAACCAGGAAGTCCTCCAGAATACAGGGCTTTGTTAGTCACAGTTTATATTGCACTAGTTTATTGCCGCTGTAAGCAGTGGAGCGGCCACTGCCTTGGAATACTTCACAGCCCAAGTCTGCAGTACTCCTCGGATCCCAGTTCTCATAAAGGGAGTACTGCGCGACTGAGGCTAGTCAAGCACAGGATAGATGCGTCTCGGTGACCGCATGCGCCAGCCTAGACGCTAAGCGTGCAGAGCCGAAAAGCCTGCCAGCACCTGTCCCCGAGCGATCAGCTCGGATGGCACCGACTGCATCTGCCTGCATCCACGG